TTTAACTTATTAAATTTATTAAATTTTCTTGATAATTATACTTTTTAATTATCAAATTTAATTAATTTTACTACAAATTTATAGTTATGGAGAGCGAGAGTCCGATAAAAAAGTTTAATAGACTCAATTTACAAATGAATAATTTCAAATTGAATTAAACCATGAACCGTAATTTGATTTGATTTAATTCTTGTAAATTCATGATTTGATTTAATTTATAAAAATTATAAACTAAGAGATATTATTTAATTTAAAATTAAGCCACAAACAGAACCGTGAACACCCCTCATAAATAATGTTCTCCTTCAAAACCAAAAACCCCCCCCCCCCCAAAAAAAAAAAAAATAAATTAAATTGGGATTTCTTCAATTCTCACTTGCATTGGGCCATTTCTATTCCTTAACATTATAGAGAAACATATGCATATCTGTAATGTGCCATGATGGATGTGTGAGATAGTTCATACACAACCACTTATGAACAGGAAGAATGGCAAGATCGATCATACTAGTAACTGGGTCAACTGCAGTTAACATAAGAAACAACACAATGCAACCATTCAAATATACCCGGTTACACGTACGCATAATTCATTTCCAAGAAGGTCCAGCTGCCGGTTAGCATTTTTACTTGCCAAAAAGCAACTGCCATTCAGACAAAGTATAGAGAAATTCACAAGCTATTTGCGTCTTTATTATGTAGCCATCTCATCAACTTCAGAACGAAATGCAAAACTCGAAAATGTTGTTGTTATATCCCTGCAATTCGTGATACAAAATAAATTTCCTAAACTTTGGATTAGACTCGCGAATACAAAATAACAATATCATCCATACCTCAGATATGGAAGGTTCATTATCTTCAACAGCAAAGGTTTCGGCTCACAAAATTTTCCCACTCAGATTTATCTATCTTTCCATCCTAATTTTCATCTGCTTCCATAAATGTCTGCATGTGAAGTTTAACACAGAATACCGATTACAGCTTATTAATTGAAAAGTCCTTACAAAAACTTAATAAAGAAATGGCACAAACAGAAACTATTTTTTAATCAAATACCTAAGAACCAGCAACCACTCACCTTATCTAGTATAATCTCAATGGTTTCATCAGCCAGCTTCATCTCAGGCTGGCAGAGTAGTGCAAGTAACATTTGCTTAACCCGGGAAAACCACACATGGTGAAGATGCCTGAAAGGAAGTTCAAATGAAATTTAATTGAATCAACATAAGTGTCTGAATATGTGCTCCATGTCTCTTCAAAAAGCATAAATTTCTAAACCAGATCAAGCTCCAAATTTAAATGAATAAACAATTAATTGTTCTCTTGAATGAACTTCTTCAATTAATAAAAAGCTACAGCATTTTCATGAATATGAAATATTCCTCCAAAAAATTGTGAGAGAAGCATATGAACAGTAACAAATAAGCCAAGCATGAACGACTTCACACAAATAAAATAGAGAGACACAGAATTCAAAGTAAGGTGCAAGATTAAACTTTGACAAAGATACAAACTAAAGATAAAACTATGTATTACACTTAAAATATATATTAGCTGCATCATGCAACATCTACTGTGGTAGCTTTCTTGAGTTCCATTTTGGTAAGCAATATGTGGGAAATACCAACTATTTAGCTATGTTCACAAACATGCCGGGAAACATATAATTCATCTAGTAAACACAGTTCTATCACATTGTATTGCTGTTTTTCATATGTTCATGATGTAATGAATAAAATATGAATACTTTCAAATTTTGATGTTTTCTAGATGCCCTAGTCAAACAAATTAAAATTAAAAATACTTTATAAACTTATCCTTCCTGTATCCGTGTAAACTGATCATACAATCCTATTATGACATGTTTTTCTCATACTTGCGCTCCTTTGTTAAAAGCATCTGGTGGATCATAAACAGGCAAGTTCATGCCCATTTCCTATATGTATTCATTGGATATGGTGCAACCATTTTGGACTGTTGTGCTTCATCAAATATAGACGCAAGGTTACCTCCGGCCACTTGATGAATCCAATGCCATCCAAATCGTAGGGCTTAAATGAAACTGCCATTTTTAATGCAATCGGACAATATAAATAAGCAATCATTCAATTACAACCTGCAAAACAGTTTAAAGCGAATGCATTTTCTCATTTTCACTTACACTCAATTTTGTCTTCTAATGGGGCATTTGGGTGAAAAACATTAAGTGATCTAACAAAATCACCAAAATCAATTGCTCCCTTCTGCTTTACATCAAATAGATCAAAGATCTGCAGATGAAATTTACCCATCTTCAAACAAATATATGACAGCAAAAATAATTAAGACAACAGTCGTGTAAGATAATATTTGTTAACAGCCAGATTGACATACACAATTCACCACTCTCTTAATCAAATCTAACAAGGGCCAAGCTATCTCCAATTTAACACCTAGCATTTCCCTCAAAGATTTATTATCAGCATATACTAATTAAATGAAAATAACAATAAAATTTATATATACAAAAGTGGTAACTTACACATACACAAGACATTAAAGTGCAAAACCGGCACAAATAGCACCACACGTGCTTTAGAATCCTCAGATGGAGCATTACAAGAAAACAGGGTTTCAGCGACGGAAAATTAGTGACGGAACAGTCCGTCGCTAATTACTGATGAATTAGCGACATATTAGCGACGGATTACTAATCCGTCGCTAAAATCAGCGACGGACAGCAATCCGTCGCTAAAATTTGTCACTAATTCAGCAACGGACAAACTTTTCGTTGGTATTTTGTTGGATTGGGTCCGTCGCTAAATTAGCGATGGACCACCAAGCTGTCGCTAAATCTGTTGCTAATTTAGCAACGGACCACCAAGCCGTCGCTAAATCTGTTGCTAATTTAGCAACAGATTGGGGTCCATTGCTAAATCCGTCGCTAATTTAGCGACGAATATAAGTTTCGTCGGTAATCTATTACTGATTTAGTGACAAAACTGTGCATTCTATTGGTAACTCATGACTAATTTAATGATTGAACGTATTTTGTATTACTAATTTAGTGACGAGACTATTTTCTATTGGTAATTCATCGAACACCAGGGAGATAGAATGCTTGAGTTAAATGAATATATTGCAATTAATCAATTTCCTTAGAGTACAAAGCCAAGGGTTAGGTCTAGAATGATAAAAATAAATACTTGATGTAATTTTATATTAGACAAAGAGAAAAAGCAAAATTTGGATATAAAAGATAACATTACACATTTAAATAAATGTATTTTTTGAGAATAAGGTAATGACCCATGGTCAATAAGTATCAAGGTCAACTTTTAAGGGACTAGTTTGATGATAGTATTACTCATATTAAGTGCCTTTGCAGGAGATAACGAAGGTGGCGGGAGGCCGTGGGCCCCACATTGATGAGAGTATTAAAGTTTAGAGTAAAAAAGCGTGTCATAAAGATGAAGAAATTGTGTGATTAGAATATAAGTGATGATGCTGTATACCTTATTAGGTATATATTTTGAGTAAAAGATAATAGTTTTTGTGATACATGTATTTATTTTGCTAATATATAAAAAGTTGAATGTTTAAAAAATATAATTTTTTTAATATAATTAAAATATAAAAAATGTAAAAATTGTATCATTATAAAAAGAAAAAATAAAAAATAAAAACAACACATGAATTAAACACACTTCAGTTGAATGCAGTTTTTTATCCCTCAATTTTTGTAGATAAAAATAATATATATTTTTTTGAATTTTCTTGAAAAAACCAAATTAAACATCTTTTATTTTGAAGTCTGAAAAGATTTAAGAGTGCTTCGGTAAATATCTGAGAGCTTATTTTATTTTTTTACTTATTATAAATTATTTGGATGCGTGCATTTTATATTTTTTTGGGCTAAAAATGGTAACTTTATTTTTTTTTAATTTTTTATGCTTAAAAAAACTCTAACAGAAATGCAAGATTGGAGTGGTAAGAAATTAATTTCAAAAGGAAAATGCAGGAATTAAATCCAATTAAAAAGGCAAAAGAATTAAGAAAAACCTCGTTTGACCTTTCACAATTAATAGCTACCCGGTTTTCAAATTTCCTTCTTCAACCTTATGTTGAGTTCTTTTTTAATGAGATGATCTCGGCTATTCAACAGACGTACGTTGTAACCCATTTTGATGCAGTTTTTTTAACACACCACGTGTATTTACTTCTTTTAACACCCATTAATTTATCACCACATTTACTATAAGGCTTTCATTGCCTTTTATTGCCAACATTAGGGTGTTCACGGTTCGGTTTTTTACCTTTTTTTATAAAATTTATATTGTACTAATATATTCGATTTTTTGAAATTAAAACTAAAACCACACTTCTTGATACCGGTACCAATCCCTTCGATTTCTTCGGTTTTGGTACGGTACAGTATAGTTTGATTCGATTTTTCAGTATTAAGTTATTTTTTTATCTCTAATTATTCAAATCAAATAATATGAAATAATGAGTAAGGACTTTTCTCATTTTCACAAAGACCTTCAAGTAATATAAAATTGGTACCTTATCTCTTATATAGCTATCTCCAATATAAGCATTAAGGAAATTTAAAGAGAAAAAAAAGAAATTAAGAAAATCTAAGCACTACATAACTGGATCAGTATATAATATTCTACTTCAACTAAAAGGAAGCAAAGCTAGCAGAAACTTATTAGTTGTCTTTTTAGACATTTTATTTATAATCGACCTTCACCATTACTATATAATCAAGTAACACAACCTACTTTTGCCAAATCCACTTTTTCCAAATTCGCTTTCCCTAAAACCACATTCTGTCAAACAAACCGTTAGAAATTAAAGGGAAAGTTAAAATATCTTAAAACTAGTAGTACTCATAATTTTTAATTAAAAATTAGATGTCTCTAATTCTTTCATATGATCATATTTTATAAATGTCAAACTAGTTAGAAAATAAAAGGAAAGATTTGAAAATCTTAAAACTATTCAGTACTTACAATCTCTAATCCAAAATCAAATGTTTCTAACTCTTTCATAAGATTATACTTTATGTATATCAAAAATGAAATACTTTGTTCGGTGTACCAAGTAAGAGAATGTCAAAACTCCCAAAACATACTAAAAATCATATCATCAAATTGAGTTATGACCTTACTATCTGAAAATCACACTATTGGAGTCGAAACTATTACATAACATGGACCATAGTAAAACAAAATCTGGAAAACATAACATGGATCACAGCAAAAACAAAATATGGGGTTAAGGTTAAATATATTTCTTCTTTTTACATTCTAATCGTCATATTTATACCTCTTGTTTACACGAGTCTTTGTCTTTTTAATTTTTTTAATTTATTATTAAATTAATCTTAATTTTTAAAATTTAAATATTTTATATAAAATATAAATAATTTAATAAATTATTATATATATTATTCAATTCGGTATGGTTTTTTATCAATTTTTAATTTTTAAAACTTAAACTATATCAAAATATTCGATACAGTATTATCTAATATAAAAATTTATAATATTTATAAAAAAAATTAATCATTTTTAGTACAGTTGAATCTAACTTAGTTCAATTTTTTTAAAGTATGAACATCCCTGCCAACATCCCCTTTATCAGACTCAGAACACGCCCCATGTTTCCCTCCCTTTCTCCTTCTCTAAAATTTCTTGACTTTTTCATTTCCCTCTCTTTTTTCCCGCCTCCCTCTCTCTTTTCTCCAGAAACTTTTCCTTTAACCCAAATCCCGGTTGTGAGTGGGTTGAGGAGGATGGTCCATGGCAGGAAAGAGTGGAAGGAGAGAGGGAATTGCAGGGGAGGGGTCGGTCGAAAGAAGTCAACCGAGGTAGCTGGGTTTGTGCCCGGCTAAGCAATGGTGACGGAGCCTTCTCCATCTCTCGGCAGTTGTCATCCTCTATCCGTTGCTCCCTCCGGCCACGGTCAATCTCCTTCTCCCTCTGTCAACATTCGAGTTTACAGTCTCCTTCTCCCTTCTCTTTATTTCACATACACTTTTGATTTCAACTCTCTCTCTGTTATGTGTTTTTACAAAGTAAAGCGTGCAGTAGAAAATGTGAATCGGAGTTCTGCGGAGGTATAAATCTGGGTCTCAAAGCTTTCGTTGGATTTTTCTTCTAAACAGAGGGAAATAAATATGTCTAACAAGTGTTTGCCATTGTTTGCCATTGTAAATAATCTAGGTCTTTGTTTGTTTCAGCTCCGGACATGGATAATGCTATGGGTCGAAGTTTGTATTCGTTACACTGCTGGAAAAAAATTCACCTGGTTTGTGCCATTTCCCCCTTGCATTTTTTTGTTCCTTTTTCTGTAGTGGTTTTCCGATTTGGAGCTGCATTCTTGATATGCTTTCTTTTCTTTTCTTTTTTTTTTTTTGGGTCTCTGCTTGGCACTCTATGTGGTATTATATTAAATACTTACATACATTCAGGTGAGGCATGCACATCTGGAAGTGAACTTCATCAGGGAACACACAGCCCTCTTCCTGCATCTCCCTATACACAGCATTTGCCTTTTCAAATTCCCTTGACTTCCCATAAGCATTCAAGACCAAGGCTATCATATTAGAATTGGGAAAATATCCAGCTCCTCTCATTTTATCAAACACCTCTATGACATTACTATGCCTTCTGTTCCTTGAGAATAGATCTATCATGCAGCCAAAAACAGCTATGTCCTTTACCTCCCCAGCTGCATAAGCCTGTCTAAACACCCACGTGGCCTCTTCCACACGCCCAGCTCGAGCAAGAATGGTAATTGCAGTCTCTCTGGGTATGTTGTCCAGGTGCTTAAGCTCATGGAGCAAGCGCTTGGCATGACCAACTAGCCCTGCCCTCTCATAAGCCACGATCATTGTCTGATAAAGAACCTGATCAATCTCAACCCCAGAAGTCCTTAGTTTCTGAAACAACATTGCAGCCCGGTCCAATTTTCCTGCTTTGCCCCATATGGATATTATGGTGGAATAGGTGATAGCAATGGGCTCAATTCCTTTGCTCCGCCTCTCTTTCATGAGATTATTAGCTTTCTCGTGCTCCAGTGATTTTCCATAAATCTTAATCATAGTATTGTAGGTAACAACTTTTTGGGTAATATCTTTCCCTGCATCAGCCTAAAAAGATGTATGGCTTCCCCAAAAAGCTCTGCCTCGCCATATACCCTCAAAAGTGTATTGTAGCTAACAACATTCGGCTCAATTCCCATTTTCCTCATGCTCCAGAAAAGCTTGTCAACTTCCTTGGCCATATCAAGCTGCCCATAAATATCAATCATAATTAGGCTTGTACAGAATTAGGCTTCACCTGGGAAAGGCAATAAAAGCTTTTTGCGCAAGATTTTTGATGGAAACATTCAAATTTTTTATTTAAATTTTTGTCCCTTAGATTTTATTCCTTCCAAAAAGGAAAAAGTAATAAAGCTAATTTATAAGCTTTTCCAA